GGAGGAGACTTGCTTTCTTGAGACAAAATAAGCAAAGCGATTACATTGATCCCTACTATCTAATCAATTTTTGTAAAGATACTGAGCTGTTAATTCTATTTGCATATGACTAGGTTTTGCTGTGAAACCAATTGTCAATTTTTGAACATTTTCCATTTTAGTATTGGGAATATATCGCGACCACAACGTGCTGCCAATATACTGACCACAGTTTGTTTTTCTGGGAGATTACCATCAATCCATTTCCTATAATCGAGTAAATTCACTCCCGGTATCGACTATTTTAGTGAATACCTAGAAAAATGTCGATGTTACTTTTTTGAATAACTTGATTGTTGTGCTCATCAAAACTAAGCTTTGAAGATTAAAAACTTTACCGACCTCGACATGACAATTTATGTGGGTAAGGGAACGAGCTCCGCTAGTTTGAGCCCGCCTTCGCTGGCAACTGCTCCTTTTGCTACATTGTTGCATATCGTTGCAGGACCAGTAGTCCGCGGAGGCAGTACAAAGTGGCGGTGTTCGTTCCCCTACCTATGTCCGCATGATATCTCCCTTATGGAATTATACGATATTGTTAACCTTCTATCATTCTGAAAAAAATATCGCAAAATAGCGTAGGGTTCTTTCAAGTCATACGTGCGACATAGTATATACCAGAATGTTATGATAATATGTATGTATCAAACAATTAATTATCACGTAGATCAGCGATAAAAATACCAAATCTAAAGATATATGAACAAATTCTGCCCACAAGATTATTAAATAAAAGCACATTGTGAAGAAAGCAGAAATGATGTGATATGATGAAAGTTGTGACAGAAATGTGCTTGGTGATTTTATCTATTCAAACGGGTTCCAATTTTTCAAATAAAAAATTCTGTGTAATTTTTTTGCAAATATATCTAGAGAATGTAGTAGGAGGGAAGTAAGAAAGCTTATAGTTGACTATTACACTACCTTAAAGCACCCTCTAGGCTACGAAAATAAGCGTCAAAACTCTCTACGCTAACGAATTCAATCGATCCTAGTCTTCTGTGATTTGTTCCGCTATCAGTCTGTTTTGTCTTCAGTATGCCTGATAAAAAAAATTATTTCCTCTTTGCGCTAATCGACAGTCTCATGGTTTTTCGCTGAACTCGAAAATCTTTCTGCGTTCTGCTATTTTCCTTTGAGAGTCGTATATCTGTACCCATTCTTATTTATTATGAAATTCCATCTTGTATAGGTTGAAGGTTATAGGTTCAAGGCCCCAGACAACTTGCGAGGGGGCTGGACGGCCACGTCCTCCAGTAAATCTTTTTGGATGGCTTTCATATGAGCTTGTAATCCAGAATTTTCAACAAAAGGGCGTGGCTGCAATTTTTTCGCAAATTTTTTGCTCGGAAATAAAAGTGGTTGATCGAGTGTGAGGACGGGGGGGGGAAGAGTATGGGGGCGGGGGCGGGCGGGATGAAAAGAAGGGGTGATACTTGGAAATAAAATACCTGAGCCAAATGCGCAAACACTGTTTTCACTTGTGACCAATCTAACTGAAATTTTAAAAAGTTCAAATTAGCTTTGTAAAAAAATCTGTGAGCATGACCACCGGCAACACTTTTTTTATCTTGGGAGTATAAGCTATGAAAATTCTGGACAGATCGCTAGATATTTTTGAGGGGATGCCACGCCCACGCCACGCCCTTCATTCAAAAAGTTTCCTGCCACACCCTCTCCCTCCCCTCCCAGTCACTCGGAAAAGTTTCTCGGACTACCATCGAGTATTAACTCACATGTTTTTCACAGTTTTTCTGATTATTAAAATCAGATCAACTGGATGATTCTAAAACTTTCGTAAAACAATTCCAAAGTTTTTCACGACTACACCCCCCCCCCTCCTCTCTCCGCCGATGCTAATGTTCCATGTTAGAATTACTTTGACGATTATTGAGTTGTATTTTCGAACAATCAGTTTATTTTTCGATTTGGCCTCGAACAACTAAAAGCGACACCAGTTGTATCCATTACACTTTCAGCCTGATGGGCTCAGCAGCACAGCTGCGACTGTTGCTATGGAAGAATTTTCTCCAACAGATTCGTTCACCATGGTTTACATTCATGGAGTTTTTCATCCCACTGCTTCTTATAGCTATCAGTTTCGGATTAATGATAGGGGTGAGTATCACGGCTCAGCTTTTTCCATTAAAAAAATTTATATCGTTCTTATTTTCACAATTCTATTATTACCCGCTACTTTCGAATACTTTTAGTTGCGAGGGAACTTCGAAAAATATCATTATCAGAAGAACTACAAGCCATGGCCTGTAATGGGAAGTGCTGTTGACTTCATCTATCCAACAAACATCAGCAGGCCCGATGTGAGTTGATTGAGTAAAAATTTAGCGCAAAAATATAATAATTCCAAAATTCTGATCTTAGGTAGTTTCATTCAATGATTTATCGTTTTTCATGAAATTTGCTTTGATTATCATTGATTCGCTAGCTGTATCTCAAAAAGCGCAACTCACAGGCTTCGACGCCGCGCTACATACGGCTAAGGCAGCTGATACAACGACGCCTTTAAGTCGTACTTGTGAGCTCATATGCTTTAGCTGCAGTGGTGTTCAAGAACCTTTGGAGATGGAGAGGGGAGGAGGGGGGCAGCATTTTTCGGAAGAAAGGGTGTAGCGCCAGACCAAATTTTTTTGGAGTGCTTTCCAAAATTTTTGCGGACTTAAAGCTCCAAACGTTTTAAGAGAAGGTGGTTTAATAACAATCACACCGGAAGCTTTATGTGCAATGCTGACATTCTAGGAAAAAATCTAAAAATTTGAAATTAATTTTTTATCTTTGGTTTCTTGTGTGGAAGCTGACTGAATAGTTATAAACAACTCATTGCCTTAGCAGCATAAGGTTCATTCGTAGCCGAATACTTCTTCTCTAATCTCTCTCCCAGAAGGAATCTCGAAGCCGTCCGATCGATTTTAAATCAACCCTCACACAGCACCGTAGACTATCATGAGTGCAGGAGTACGGTAGTGGGCGAGAGTTTGGATAGATTTCTACGAAGGATTTGTATGTAGTGTACATAGCTAAGGTGGTGGCCAGGCTAAGCACCTACCTGCTTTGCACGCACTAGCGGCGGTCCGAGAATCTTTTCGCGGCGGGGAGGGGGGGGGGGGAGGAGAATGGAATAGAAATTTTGTTGGAGTGAAGAATTTTGGAGTTGGCCATGCCTTCCGGAAACCTATTGAAATGCTCTTTATTCCTTTTTCGCAACCTATAGCCTTGCAATTTTGCAATCATGCCCCCTAAAATGGTCATCAGACAATTTGAATTTTCAAACATTTAAGGGATTATTTATCATTTATAAGCAAAAAAGTCGCTGCACAATCTGCCTTCACGAACGCCCATTTCAGTCTGCAATCTTGGATTACACTGGTCTGCTGACGAATTCTTCAGCGGAATGTCCGTTTCTTAACCTTACAGTAGAAGATGGTGGAGTATACCTAGAGATCAAGCTGATCTATGCACCTGTAACTGATATAACAACAAAGATCATGACGCTGGTTCAGGTAACTCAGAAATTCGCGATTTATCTCATTCACAAGCTTTCTTATAGAACCGCAATACGAAATTCATACCAAATCCTTTCGAACTCCCAGGTTTGATAGGTTTAGACTTCAATAGAACCGACTTTCCTCCAAATATAACATTACCGAAATTTTTTCAATCAAAGATGAGCATTGAAGGTGGGTGAATAAATAATGTAATTTTTTTGTTAGGCCAACAAATACATGAGGGTTATAGGTTTCAAGACAGAAGAGGAGATGGTGAATTATGCGAAAGACTCCTTGTCAAATCAGTGTTCGAATCCACTTCTAGGTATGTTTGAGAATCTAGTTTTTGCTGAATTTTGATTTTCGAAGTATTTTTTTTTGACATGCAGAATATTTTTTACTTGGTCTGCGATTTTTATCTAGATTTTGGTAAAGTTTGAAGAGTGTTTATCAAAACCAGAGATCCTCATTATTACTTTCAATATTTCGAAGATTCTCCATCAATTTCCATACGACTGCTTTTGTCGATCCTATGCAGCAACCTGCCGCAAATTTTGTAATTATTTGTAATTAATTATCCTTATATGCAGAAAAATTATTCCTACAGAAACCTGCTTCGCTTTCTTACAATTTGCTTTCTCGAATTTATTTGCGACTATGAACCAGTAATCTAAAGGTGCTATTTCTAGGAACGTTCGCTTCGGGACCGGCCACGGTTGTCCGCTATCTGATCTTTGTTGAATTGGCGTTGCGATTCTGGAAATGTGACGCGAGCAGAAAAAAATTATTAAGCACAAAAAAGAGTGTGAAACTTCCCGTTTCCGCAAGGAATTATATCTAAACTGCCGTTTTCTCGCCATTTACGGATTCAACATTCTGCAGAAAGTCAAGCTAATTTAGTGCAAAATCTCCAGGTGTTTTATATCTTGCGGAAACATTTTTTTATCGTCAGAAAACATTTCTGAAATTTCTAGCATTTCTCTACAAGTGAAGATACTTTTACAGTTGCATTTTTTGAAGGAAATTTAGCTTATATTGTCTGTGGAAGAAGTTTGGAAAAATAAATAATCAGAGCTAATATAAGGGGCAAAGAAAATCGTCAACTAAGAGTGGATTATCGCTCAAAATTCTCCTTCTTTTCTTGATGGTGTTTCATATATTGTTTCTATTTTCTCTAATGCCCTTAGAACCCTTTCTTTACCTCCTTCTCTACCCTTTTCCTTTCCTTCTTTTACCCTTAAATCATTTTCCACATCGTGTATTTTTTCTAATTATCCTATAAACAAGCTCAGATCGAGTTCATGCCTCAGTAGTGAGAAACTGAGGGTATAGGATTATAATCCTTAAAAACAAAAACATTTCTATCACGGTCAAATAATGACCAGAACTCCTGAATACCCTTGTTTTCAGCCGGCATAACCTTTGGAAATTCGATAGCAGAGAGGTTGTCCAGCGATACAGATCTTCAGTACACCATTAGGCTTTCAAATACAAATCGAAGAAGCAAAGGAGTAAGTATCTAAAAGTTTTACGTAGTCTTCAAACTGGATTTCCTTTATTTACATTTAATTTTTTTCTGTTTACGTTTAGACTATGGGCACGAACAGCTATCAGCCTTGGAACACCAAATTCGTCTTCGCTATTCAGTTCGTCAGCGGTCCTATAAACTCCAAGGAAAGTGATGGTGGTTATCCGGGTAAGCTTTTTTTGAATATTTGGTGCTTTTTTACTTACAAACTCGCTATAAAATGCTATAAAAATCATTGTGCATCTAGGTTTTTAGGTGGGCGGTGCTTAGAGTTGAGATTAACTGTTTTCCTCTAATCTCCATGGGTTTATCAGAGCTTGTCATTCGTCATTTGTGGGGATTGTGAAAGCGCTTGTTCTTATTGGAAAATAACTGAATATCAAATCTTCCAAAAATGCAAGTTAGCTTTGCAAGGATTAAAAATTTTTAGGGGGAGGGGAGGGGGGGGGGGGTAACTTCCTTTTCCTTCTGCAGAAATTTGGGGTTATAGCCAAACAAAAATCTTGAAATACACCCAAACTTTTTTTTGGAAAACTTGGCTAACGCAACTTCGATCCTTCAAAAATAATTTTTTATCCTTGCTCTCTCCCGAGAAAAAAATTTTCTGGACCGCGCTGTAGATACTTTGTAGTATACATAGACATGAACATGTCTTATGATCGGCAAAAATCAAGTGTTTATCATTGAGAGGAGGGGGAGAGGTGAAGACTTGAATTGCTGCGGTGAACCCTCTATGAACCGAATTTTTTACGGCACTTTGTTGTTTTTGAAAATTTTAATTTTTACTCATAAATCATTCATTAGTATTTGCTTGCAAGCGACAAAAAATAGCTGTAAATCTCCAGCATCTTTTTTTCGGAAAGGGCCCCTTATAGTTTTCCATAACATTTGCGACATCTTGGTTCCGTTATAAATTACAAAATTATACGATTTAGGCTACTGGAAAGAAGGCTTCATGACTGTCCAGAAATCAATCAATAATGCAATTTACGAGATATTGACTGGAGAACATATTCCTTGGCTCAACTTGAATTTTTTGGTGAGTGATGTTTTCTGAGAATTTTCTAGATCAATAAATAAAATCAATATATTTACTTTTAGATTGGGCGGTTCCCCTATCCAGCCTATCAGTCGCAAATTATCGAAGTTGGGTCGTTTTTTCTACCTGTCATCGTAATCTTCTCCTACATGACTAGCGTCATTTATATTGTGAAGTGTGTGGTGGGCGAGAAGGAAAGCCGAATGAAGGTGAGTAATAAGTCGAAAGAAACTGATAGTCAAATTGGGAATGAGTCAGGCTAGCACTGTGATTGAAGGGGTCGAAAAATGCTTTCCAAACTAAAAGCTTTTTTCCCACAAGAGAAGAAAAATTGGAAAAAAATGTAGTTTTACGTATATAAAAAATGATGCTATGTATCCTTTGATTCAATTGGATTGGCGGTTGCAAGGCGGGCCTTCCTGACCTAATTAGGCTAGAGAGTGGTCAGAGAGCACGCGCGCGAAGACGCAGACTGCGTCGCGGGCGCGACACCTTAAGTAGGTCACAAAGCTCCGCCTCCCAGCCGTCAATACAGTTGAATCAAAGGTTACAGACACATTATTCAGGAATACATGCGAGTGATGGGTTTGAGCCAATGGATCCATTGGGTTGGCCACTTTATCATGAACTACGTGAAGCTGGTAGTATCAGTCATCGTGTTGACAATATTGCTACATTTTGTCACTGTCAAGTAAGTTCTTAACATCCGCTCTTGACAGAAAAATTTTTTTCTTGGATTAAATAGCTTTTCTCCAAGAGAGTATTGAATGCATATAAGCATACGATGTTATCGAATTCTCCCTATTTTCTTTCCATCACGAGATAGAGCTGGATATTCTTCTTACACAGGAGGAAAATTTAGAAAACCGATTTGATTCTGCAAAGCTGGCGCAGTTTTTTACCAAATAATCATTAGATTAGAAGTTTTTTCATCAATCTGAGGTAGTATAAAAAACGACAGAAGAATTGCTAGGCCTAGCCTCTGCGCTCAAAAAAAATCGGACAGGTTTCTATTTATTGAGTTCTGGTTACCAACTTGCTCAACTTTATTACTGATTTCAACACTCCCATATTTCGATTAGATGAATAGCGAAAAGCATGAGAATTGAGCGTGACTGATTCTGGCTGAACTGAATATGAAAAATGCAACGTTGATGTTGAGTGCCCAGGGGTCCTGGGCGGAAATGCGCAAACCACTTTGCACCGTAGGCGTGTCGTTTTACACTTTATAGAGTTGGAAATGTCTATCGGATTTTATTGACCGAAAATGCGTTTCATGGACCGAGAGCTGCATTGCTCGAATTGAATTGATGAACTGATATTTTGTGCTTTTTTGGCGCGTCTACTAGCTGTCGCATTTTGCGGCGCAAATGCGACCCGGGATATCAATTCATGTTTGCGTAGCGTCCGTTTTGGACGCTACGCCCTCTTGTGCTATGCTGATAAGAATAAAATAGTCTACCACTAACCACCTTCGTGCACACACGACATTTTTGGTGCATCGGCCAAAGCCGAAAAAAAAAAAGAAAAGTAAGTTTCCTCGTCTACGCCAAGTTCGTAGACGAGTCACCACAGGCAGTCTAACCTGCCCAAAAAGATCCCTAGTGGTCTTAAAAATCGACTCCTAGCGGTCGTCCTCTTCCCTAGTGAAGATGGAAGCGGTTCTCTATAAGAGACCGATAGCAATCAGCGTTCATACGCTGACAACCTTGACAGCAAACTTCAAGGTATACGCGGAACCAATTGCGTTCTCGCAAGACGAACAATCCCAACTCGATGAAGCCCAAACGGCCATCGACCTCATAAGTGGGGGGATTAACCAACTAAACAAAGCCAAAGAGGATCTAAAAAGCCTCCTAAACCAATTCAAAGAGTACTATAGCACGAGCACAAAAGACGAAAAGAAAAACTTGAACAACGCTATCGAGGAGATAGAAAGGGAGACCAATTTCAATGAGGTCTTAGGGAAAGCAACAGAGATGGTCTTCATGCTGGAGTCACGCATGACTGAGGCCAAAAGCGCAAAAAACAGACTGATGCGAAAAATTTCACTGGATAACCGTCCAGATATGTTCAAAAGCATGGAAGCAGATGAGATACAAAGAAAAAATTCTCAAGAACAAGTGATTGATGACACCCCAATGATTACCAGTCAGGGGTCAGAATGGCTATCAGAAGATAGCAGCGCCAGCGCAAGTAGCCAGCGTAACGATGCGCAAACAAACAACAACGTAAAAACACCAGTGCTAACATTACCCAAGTTCTTCGGAGTGGAAGAAGACTTCCCCGAATTTTGGGCAATTTTCGAAACATTAATACACAATAACAAGAACCTATCCACAGTGGAAAAAATGATGTACCTGAGAGACAGCCTCAAAGGCAAATCGGACAATGCTATAAAGGGCATCCAATTAATTCCACAAAACTATAACTGGATGATCGACACTCTGCAAAAGAAGTACGGCAATAAGCCTACAAACAGAGCAAGGATCGTACAACGCCTAGCATTCCTGCGACCCGCAAATAGCAGCGCAGATAGCTGCACATACGTATTCGACAAAATCTCCATGCTGATTAACCAAATGGTATCAGCGGGTCAGGATATTCGTAAGACCAAGGATGCAATGTGGACAGAAAACATTTTGCAAAAGTTCCCACACGAAATCGTAAAAAATGTCCTCATATCCCTCAAGGATAGGGATGAGGTACAGATTGAAGATCTCATGGCACAAATCGAAAACGAAATCTCAGCCAAAGTTTACGTGGAATCAAGAATGAAAGGATACATGCCAAAAAACACTCACTTCCAAAGCGAAAGCCGTCAGCATGTCAACAGACATGAAGAAACCACATCGTCGTCCTTTCCTCCGAAATCCACTCAGAAATGCGCGTTCTGTGCAAACTCAGGACATTTATCAGTGAAATGTCGCACGATTACAGACATAAATGAACGCCGCAAACTGCTCCTCGAAAAAGGCCTCTGCTGGAAGTGCTTTTCCAACACGCACACCAGCGCTCAGTGTCAGAAACCCGACTGCCCTCTCTGCAGTCGCAAACACCACTCCTGCGTATGCTTCACAAGCAAATCGAACGCAAAAGACATCGCTCAAAATCGCGGCAATCACAATGCTAATTTAAGTGAACGAAGAAACTATTCTCAACCACAAAATAATTTCTCCAGTGACGCACGCTTAAGAGCGTCAGCACCACGATTTCAACCTACAAATCACCTCAACGCTGAGATCGAGGACAATCCCAAATCACCCAAAGAACAAGTCATACTAATGACAGCAGAGGGCAACATATTGAATAGAAATACCGGAGAATTCGAAAAAGTCCTCTTCTTTTTCGATACTGGCGCGCAGAGAACGGTCATAAAAGAGGACCTTGCCACCAGACTAGGTCTGCCTACAATGCGTACGGAAACGTGCGTAATGTCCGGAATCGGCGGGCATACGGAAACTTTCCAAACAAGCATAGTAGCTATCAAGGTAGGCACAGCATACGGGAAAGATTTAGAAATCTTAGTCCAAACCAAGCCGATCCTTACCAACGGTTTTCCCTCGGTAAAACTAACAACCAACGACAGGCAGTTTCTCCAGAATAACGAGATCTGCCTATCGAACTCGAAGCTGCGAGGAGAACATCAAAATCCGGATATTCTGGTGGGTTTAGATCACTACCATAGCTTCATCCTTGACGCGAATGTGAATACCACAACTCCATCTGGCCTGAAACTTGCAAAAACTGTGTTCGGACCATTGCTATACGGAAGAGGAATGCTCGAAAATTCAGATCCCACTCTTGTCACCTACAATATGACAGCTGTGACTACCACGAAAGAAGCTGAAATGCTCGAGAACCTGTTCGAGCGTGAAGGTTTGGGTATCTCATCAGGTGAAACGTCCAAAAACGAAGAGGCGTTTAGCTATCTAGAAACTTACTCAAAGCAAATATCATTCGCAAACGGGTATATCACAGCACCTTTCCCATTGAAGGAGAACCATAAACGCCTAACAGACAATTATCCTGTCGCTCTAAAAAGGCTGTTTTCCCTGCACAAACAACTAGCCACAAACAACACGCAGAAAGAGTGGTATTGCAAAACCATTGCCGATTATGTAAAAGACGGCATCATCGAACAAGTAACGTCAGATGTTAGAGAATGTGCAGGTACATACTATATGCCACATTCAGGCGTATGGCGTCCTCACAAACCCAAACCATTACGTGTTGTATTTGATGCTTCTTCGAAAAAGAAGGGAGAACTATCACTCAATGACGTGATGTTCAAAGGTGAATCCTTTATAAGAAAAATCCACGATATCTTGATTTCGAGCCGTATGAGCAAAGATATCGTACTATGCGATATCGAAGCAGCATTCACCCAAATACGACTTCACCCGTCTCACAAAGATTTCTGCAGGTTCCTTTGGGTGAAAAATCCTGAAAATCCTCCAACAAAAGATAATATCGTAGAGTATCGCTTCAATAGACTGCCGTTCGGCATAACTGCATCTCCAAGCATATTGAACATGGCACTAATGACCTATCTCAAAGCAAACAATAGCAAACTCGCAAACGAGATAGCTAAGAACTTATACGTCGACAACATCCTACTTCACGCAAATTCCACACAAGAAGCTTTGCGCAAGTATCGAGAGTCAAAAACACTTTTCGCAGAGATAGGGATGAACCTGCGAGAATTTGTATCTAACAATGAGGATTTCAATCAATGCATTCCTCAAAACGATAAAATTCCAGGTGGGATCATAAAGTTTCTTGGTGTCACCTACAACACAAACGAAGATAAGTTCATGGTCAAACTAAACTTCCCTCAAAAACTTAATCTGACAAAAAGAGATATCGTGAGCCAACTAAACTCAATTTATGATCCTATCGGTCTAACCGCACCGCTACTCATAAAACTAAAATCTCTCATGAGGGAAATCTTCGATGAAGTCTCCGACTGGAACAGCAGGCTTTCGGTGAATCTAATGAAGAAATGGAATTCCGCATGCCAGGATGTCAACGATACTGTTGTCTCAATTCCAAGATACATTTTACCCAGCGAACAGCATCTCCCACCAAAAACTCTTAGTTTGTGGATTTTCGCTGACGCGAGTATGATGGCAACAGCAACGTGCGCCTACCTAAGAGACGATTCCACAAATCAGATTACATCCTTGATAAGCGGAAAAACTAAACTCGCCCCAAAAAAGGCTAAGCAAACGATACCTAAGCTAGAACTGCTCGGTATAGTCATAGCACTTCGTTTAGGAAGTACCATCCTTGAAGCCATAAACACAAAAATCCCTCAACTTCACATAGCCAGCGACAGCGAAATCGCTCTCGCATGGACAAAAAGCACGAAGAAGTTACCCATATTTGTAGAAAATCAAAGGAACACGATTGAGAAAATTAAAAGAGAACTTGAAAGAAAAGGTGTTACGCTAACCTTGCATCATGTAGCAACCGCGTACAATCCTGCGGACGCAGGAACAAGAGGAATTACGTCCTCTCAAGCTCACGACCACGACTGGATTCACGGTCCTAGATGGTTAACAAAATCAGAGCATCACAAAATACTCAGGCAACTTTCCGAGTTGTCTGAGGACAACGAAGAAAAAGACGAAACTTCAACAAATGTGGTCGTGCAAAACGACTATCCAGCAATCATGGTTAGGCAAA